GGGAATCGGGGTAGGAGGGGTCGCGACATGTCAGGAGGGGTCAGGGGGGCCGCGAGGGGTCGGTAGGCCCCCCGGGGGAGGGGAAGGGCGGCGGGGGGCTGGAACCCTTATGAGGAGGGGCCAGGAACGGCCAGGAAGTGCCAGCAGAGTTGGGCGCGCCCCCCCTCCAACATCCACAAATGCCCTGCCGCGCGCCCCGTCCATTGGCGCCAGGCGACGAAATGCGGCGCGCCGACACTAGCGCGACAACAATATTGCAGAAGACGGCGCACGGCGGACAGGACATCTTCATCGCGCGATGCGCGCGCGACTCGCAGAACACTGGCACGCAAGGCCGGCGGGCGCTGCGCTAGGAAGGAGAAGCACAAGGAAGACATCGGGGCTGGATAACAATCACCTCGGCAGAAGCAGCGATCTGATGGAGCACGGGCAAGATCAGGTCACATAGGCGGAGACGCAACCACGCAATGAAGCGTCGCATTTCCACGCCGAAGTGCTCGTCGCCAACGCGGCCAGCGCTCCGCGCTGCTGCGGCGCCTCGGAAAATTGACGGACCCTGCTATTAGCGTGAGGCGGTCAAAACCTAACTCGCCCGCCAGCCTTTCTGCCCCCCCCCCCCCCCCCTGCGCCTCTTAGCGCGAGCACCAAACGCGCGCGGGCGCGCCGCCGGCCTTCGAAAGCGGCGACAGCTTCACAATTAGCGCACCCCTGGGATGGCGAGACCCCCTCTGCATCTGCGCGTGGCCCCGCTGCGCTGCCCCCCCCCCCCCCCTCAGCAGCCCTCGAAAGCGGCGACCGCCGCGCGCGTCGCGGCCCCCCGGGCGCGGCGGGGCCCTTCAGCGGGCAAGCGCAGACAGGCGCGGGTAGGCGAGAGCGAGCAAAGGCCGGGAGGGGGCGGGGAGGGGAGTCGGCACTCCACTGCTCTATTCAAAACGAGCACCCAGGCGCGACAGGGCCGGGGGCAAAACTGGTTTTTCTGGTTGAACCCGCGCACGCACACAAACACACAAACACACACACACACGCACACGCACAAACACACACACACTATCCAGCACACACACACACAACACACACTCGCACACCGCACACCGCACACACACCAACAGCAACATCACAGCACCCACGCACAGCAACACACACGCGCACACACACACGCACGCACACACAGCAAGCTCGCATCTCACACCACACGCAACCACGCGCGAACGCTTGTGCGCACGCTACACGCACACGCACACGCATCACGCATCACGCACACGCCACACACGCACACACACCCACGCGCACACACACACACACACGGCACACCCACACGCACACTCGCACACGCACTCACACGCACCGCACACACACACACACACACCGCACACACGCACACGCACACGCCACACACACACACTCGCTAACGCACACGCACACACACAGACAAACAACAGGACAAACACGTCACACGCACACGCACACGCACACGCACACGCACACGCCCCACACGCACACGCACACGCAAACGCACAACGCACACGCACACGCACCACGCAACACGCACACACGCACACGCACACGCACACGCACACGCCCACACGCAACACGCACACGCACGCACGCACGCAACGCACGCACGCACGCACGCACGCACGCACGCACGACGCACACGCACACACACACACCAACTCGCACACGCACACACACCAACACACACCACAATCACACTACGCACACGGCACGCTGCACACACACGCGCACGCACGCACGCACGCACACGCTCCGCGCACGCACGCGCACACGCGCACGCGCGCATCGCCCACACGACACACAGCACACACGCTCACACGCACGCACGCACGCACGCACGCACGCACACACGCACACGCACACTCGCACACACGCACACAGCACACGCACACGCACACGCACACGCACACGCACACGCACACACCACACACACACACACACACACACACACACACACACACACACACACACACGCCCAGCGCCCTAAAAACGCGTTCCCCCCCCATCAGAGCTTGCCTCTGCGTGGGGCCCTGGCGGATTCATATGACAAATAAAATATGGCGACGATTTCGGCGGCGCGCCCGGGCGCCCGGGCGCGCGGGCGCCCAGGCGCCCAGGTGCCATGTAGCCCTATAGCCCCATAGCCTCATGGCCCTATACCCCTATAGCCCAAATAGCCCTCATAGCCCAATCGCCCAAGAGACCGACCCCCCCCTCCCCGCCCGCCCCATCGCGCCCCCCCCCCCCCAGGGCCCCGGGAGAACCCTCGCTGGATAGTTCTCGCTGAACGAGCCCCCCCCCCCCCCGGAGAAGGGAAAACGCCCGTGCCCCCCCCCCCAAAAAAAAAAAGAAGAATAAATAATAATAAACTCCCGGGTGGCTCTTTTCCTCCGGGGCGGGTTTGCCGCGCTGCCGCGCCGCTTGCGCTTTCGCCGTAGGTCGCGGAGAACGGTTCTTCAAACGGGCCGTCTCTTTCCAACTCTTCAAACGGCGCGCGAGCGCCTGGAGCTGCCTGCGCCGCCGCAGCATCGGCCTGGGCCCCTGGCCCCCTCGCCTCGCCTCCGATGGTTTTTGCGTTGGCCGACGTCATCTCGAGCCCCGTCTCGGCCGGGCAGTTCGTTCGTTCCTCGCCGCGCCCCCAGCGGCGCTCTGCAGTGTCTGTGCGCACCTCGGCCCCCGCCTCAGCGCCGCGAGCTGCCTGGGCCATCGGACTCCGCGGCGCCTCGTGGCCTGTCCGCGCGCGCAGAAGAATCCCCCCCGCCTTCTCGACCTTCGCTTCCAAGCGAGGTTCGCACCGTTCCTCTTCCTCGGCGGCAACTCGCGCCGCCTGCTCAGATCCCCATCGCCCCTCGCCCGCCCTCGCATTCCTGCGGCGGGGCCCGCCCCCTTCCAGGGCCCGGCGCTGGGCCCCTGGTTCTGCCCCGACCTTCCGACGAGCGCGGCGGCCCCCGCGGCGGACGCTTGCCCGGCGCTGTCGGCGCACTTGGCCGAGGGCAACTGCGCCCTCAAGGCGGCAATGCTACCCTTGACCCGTGCCCCCCGATCCAAGTGCACGGCGAAGCGCTCGCCCCGCGGCGCCCCGAAATCGCGCTCTGCTCTGAGCCTCGGGCTCGCGCGCCTCTCGCCTCGGCCATCTGCGCCTCGCGGCCCCAGGCAGCGGCGGCCCCCGCCGCCCGAGTGGTTCCTTCAGCTTCCTTCGCCCCGCCCACGCGACGGCGCCGTCTTCGACGCCTTGTACGCAGCGTTCTGCCTCCAAGCGTACTTCCTGTTCTTTCGCGGCGCTGGAAGCCGCCCGATCCTCGGGCGCCTCGAGGTCAGCCCTGGCCCGGCAGTCCTCTGCTCCGGCCAACTAATTTGGACGGCGCTCCATCTGTTGGATCATTTCTTCGAACTGCTCTTGCAACATCATCAGGGCGATTGCAGATTCCTGTTGTTGAGTGGTTACCCTAGGCCCTGCCTCGCGGCGCGCGAAGCGAGCGCCTTTGCTCGACCGAACCATTACACGAGCAATCACAAGCAATCGACGACGCACTGCCCGCACGTTCTGGATCGCGATGCGCACTCTCGCCAATTGCAGCCGGCGGACTTCCGAAGACTCCGACGATCCGCAATTCATGGACATTAAGCCGAAGGGTTCCAGCGTCGTTACCCAACTGGCATCCGGCTCATGCGCGACGAGGCAATCGAGGCTACCTTCCTCGACCTCCCCCATCATGGAAGAACATCGATCGATCCTCGAACTCTGGTCTCGCTCTGAACTCTGCACCGACAAGCGAAATTCATCCAGATCCCAATTCTGAGACCCACCAAGTGTGGTTGGCAGATCCTGCCTGTTCTCACGAGAATCGCCCACATCGCGGCGTCTGCTCAGCCTAGTTGTCCGCGGGAAAATAAGACCGGCGGCGGAAGCACATTCGCCCCTGTCTACCCTGAGCACTCCGACGGAAACTATGTCATCGTCGTCGTCCATAATTATCTGAGACGCGGGTGACGGTCGCAGCGCGGTTGGATATCTCTCGGTCCTGGCTGGGTCTTGGCACCTCTCTTTCTTCATTGGCGAAATCACCTCTATTCGGATTGCCACGCTCTGCGCTCGATCCACGAGCAATCTCTGCCAAAATCGGGCGAAGACCAAGCAGGGCGCTTACAGCGGCATCAAAAGTCGTCTCGAGTCGACCCTGGTGTCCGATGGCACAAGAACCTTGTGAACGTCGAGCGATTATCCCTCGGCTGGGCCTGCGCGACCTGCGACTCGCAGGTTCAGCCTCAAGACCATTCGATTCGACGCCCATGATTCCCAAAATCGCGTGTCCGATCTTAGCATCGTAAATCCCACCAAAGATGTCAAATTCGTACCAACATCATACGCAGTGGGCGGGGAAAACATGCCGCCGGCCGACGACAAGGCCCCCGATCTCAACGGTGCAATGTGCTCAGCAAGCTTGGCACTATTCTTACCAGGCCCCCCCCGCATCGACTGCGACATGGTAGCCAGGTCCGAACCTTTTTCCGATTGCCGAAACGATCCGCCTCCACCGCTGGAGGCTACCTCGAGGGCCGTAGGCCCTTTTCCTCGGGATTCGAATCGTGTGTTTCAGGACCCACAACCCCCGCGAGAGTTTCGTGGGCAAGGTTCGCGAGTGACTTGCCTTCCTTCCCTTCATCGTCACAACTACCTTGACCCATCGTGTCGCAGTTCCCGTGGCGACCGCCGTGAACTTATCCATCATGTTTCCGGCTGGTAGCAAATCTTTCGCCCGAAAACCACAATACCAGACGATCGAGCATGATCCTTGCTCTCCTCTCCTACCTCAAAGGGTCGCTTCCGGCGGATCAAAAGTAAACATATGTGTGTATATATATATGTGTGTAAAAATATACATATACACACGCAAGATTGATCCATGGCGTGGTACACCCGGAAGCCATATAAGGATAGATGTGGAACAAAAAACGCGCGCGCTGAGAGGAAGGCGTGCGCATTTTCGCCCAGACGCGACAAGCGTCCAATTCCTTACTCGTACAGCTCCAGCCAAACGCCCGCAACGTCACGCGGGTGAATGTTCAAAAGAGAGGCGGAGGGAACGACGTTAACGACCAAATCTCTGACCAGGACCCCAACACCTCCAGAGGTTGACAGACCTTCCTTGAGCTGATCTGAAGCCAGCGTCGCCGTCCAACACTTACCCTTGGCCCAGGACGCGACGGAATTGATTGCATCCACCGAGCGCAGGTGATTCTCTTGCATAGAATGATAAAGACCGTCGACAGCGGAAACCCCAAAAGGGGGAGGCGAGAGTTAGGGGAAGGAGGGATTATGCCGCGGCGAACAATGCCGACCGTACCCCCAGGCCTCTCCTGGGGGACGAAGTTTAGCTTCGAGGGCCCTTCTTCGGGTAGGTGCCTACCCGAACCCTGTCCGCGTGAAAACTGACAGTGCGAGTCCCAGCTACTTCCTCAGCCTGCCGCGCAAGTCACTGCACTCAACTCACGTCCCGCACGAGCAAACCCCAGCGAAGTAGCCGATGATGCTGCTGTTCTTGCCTCATCCTCGGTGATGAGGAAAGAGGAGGCTGTTGTTCGGCGACCTAAAGGCCAGCGCAAAACCGGAAGCGCGAAGGCAGAGGACCCCTCCACCTCCTTCGAGGAGGGAGGAGGAGGAGGAGGAGGAGGAGGAGGAGGAGGAAAACCTCAATAAACACAGTACTCCGAGTGTATGAAAAAGCGTCGGGAGGGTGTCACCCCCGCCGACTGCCCCACATCGACCCCTATCGCGGGTAGCCACCGCGCGCCGAAGGCGCTCCGACCCCCGTCGCGGCGCGACGACGAGGCGAGGTTGACCACCGTCTGATGGGTACCCCCCACGCTTATGAAGAAACCCAGAGTAAACACAGCACACCCTCGCGAACAAAGTTCCCTCTCAGAAATCCCTACACGAACTCATTGCCAGTGCGGGAAGCGCGCCCCCGTGAATGAGGAGCGCACGGTGGGCCTGCCACTCGAGCGAGGTCCTGTCTTGCACAGGGAACGCGGAGAGGCAGGATGAGGAACTCCAGGGAGAAGTCAAACGAGAACTCCGTTTTCTGTAAATGGACATTCTTCCATTTACAAAAAAGCACGGTGTTATCAATATGTTGGTCATCAATAGTGGGGAAGTCTCAAGCGACATTTTCATTGTGAACCGGAAGCTCCCTCCACCGGTGAAAACTAGTGCGCTGTGCGGAATTTCGGGTCATAGAAAAGAGAATGCAAAACTTTGAAAACGAACCGGCCTCCATCCTTGTAGTCGATGGGAACTTTCCAAACGACGGCTGCGCGGCGCTAGGGCAAGTCTCATTTTGAAATCGAAACGGACACCGTCCTTACAACTGTTGGACACGACTGGGAGGAAAGGGCGCAGCGCTAGGGCGAGAGCCGCATCTTAGAAACGAGAAGACTTCACATACATTGACATGTGAAAATGTTGTCATTACTTGGCTTCTGCGTATTGGTTACTACGTAGCTTGGCAGGGGAGGAAATTGAGGAGGAAGGGGCGGATGAAGAGAAGAAGAAAGAACACGAGGAGCAGGGGGAGGCAGACGAGCAGGAGGAGGAGGAGGAGGAGGAGGCGGACGACAAAGAAGGAGGAGAAGGAGGCGGAGGAGCAAAACAACACGAGGAGAAGGAAGAGGAGCGGGAGGAGGAAGAGGAGGAGGAACAGGAGGAACAGGAAGAGCCGAAGGAGCATGTGGAGCAGGAGGAGCAAAAGGAGGACCGCGGCGGAAAGAAGAGAAAAGGCGGGAGGAGCAGGAAAAGCGGAAGGACGAGACGGAGGACCGCGGCGGGAAGGGGAGGAGGCGCGGGAGGAGCAGGAATCGGAAGAACATGATGAGGGCGAGACCCCCTTGTAGCACCCTGGCGGCAACTTGGCCGTTTTACCGGGGGCCACCAGGGTGTCGGAGCTGCAGGCTCCGTCTCCCCCTGCAGGTTGTCGCAGACGAGCCGAACCCGCTACGGGTGGCACCCGTGGAGCCGATGGGTCCGCTACCACAGGCCCGCGGTGCGCGGCCGACGCGCCGACGCGAGCTGCGGCGGGGCGCCCGCGGGGCCTACGACCACCACGGGGCCGCGCCGTCCCGGAAGTCCTCCTCGGTCCAGGCGCTCAGCCGCACCTCGGCTCGGGGGGCTCCCGGGGTGAGGGGCGCCGATTGGAGGAACAGTGTTGGCCAAAGTAGGCCCCAAGCAATGCGTTTTTACACACTATGTGGTGCCATCCGTATGCTGCAATTCCTGCTGGGAGTTGGCAACTCCAGTACTCGCAATCATCCCACCCGCCCACCCACGCGCCCACTCGCAACTTGGTTTGCAAAGCCCATGCGGCGGCGATTGCGATGAATGTTTGGTGTTGGCTGGCGCATCTCTGCGGCCGCGCTGGCGCGCACGGCTAGTGTGGCAAAACCGATGCGCCCAACTAGTTTGGCAAAACCACCGCCGCCGCGGTGGCGCTCACCGATGGGGACTTCCCAGCGCGTCTCAAGAGCCACGCTGGCGCGCGAGCGCTTCACTGTGAGTCGGTGACGGGGACGCAACATCCTGGTGACGTCGACGACGGCGGAAACGATGATGATGGTAGCGATGATGGTGACGATGATGGTGTCCACGTGTCGGCGATGAAGAGTTTGGAAGGATTCCGACATGCGCGCGCGGCCGATGCGCGCGAGTGGCCCGCATTCTATTATTTGAGTGGGATCGTGCCCCCCCCCGCCATCGCGCAAGGGCGGTCGAATGATTTCGACATTCGTTCGCGAGAGGCCAGCTTGGCCGCATCTGGAAAGAATGTCGAAGAGCTCATTCCTGAGAACTCGCAAAAGCGCGAGCATTTTGTTTCAAACGTTATGTTGCAAAACCATTGTTTACACATGTATGAGAGGGCGTCACCCACCGCAAATTTGCTGAAGAAAATTCCCCACCCTTTCCCTCCGCAGCCCGGGGGCCCCCCCCCCTTCCTCCAAAACTCCCCCCCCCTGCTCGAACCCCTCCCCACCCCTCCCCTGCAAACCGCCCCCCCAACCAACCCTCCCTCCCCCCTCCCTCCGGGAAACGGACGGGGGATCACTACTGGTTCGACCCCCCCCGCCCCGCAAACAGGGGGATGGGTCACTTCTGGTTCGAGTTCCCCCACCCCCCCTCTCGCCGCCGGTAAACGACTCCTGGGTCCCCACCACCGTCCTCACCAACGCCCTCACCACTGTCCCCACCACCACCACCACCGTCCCCACCACTGTCCCACTGTCCCCACTGTCCCCACCATTGTCCCACTGTCCCCACTGTCCCACTGTGCTGTCCCACTGTCCCCACTGTTCCCATCACTGTCCCCACCGCCCTCACCAGTCCCCACCACCACCGTCCCCATCACTGTTCCACTGTCCCCACTGTCTCCACCACTGTCCCCACTGTACCAGTCCCGTTGTCCCACCACCGTCCTAACCACCGCCCTCACCACTGACCCCGCCACCACCGTCCCCACCACTGCCCCACTCTGCCCACCACTGTCGCACTGTCCCCACTGTCCCCATCACTGTCCCCGCCACGGTCCCACTCTCCCCACTGTCCCCAATGTCCCCACCACTGTCCCACTGTCCACACTGTCCCCACCACTGTCCCCACTGTCCCCGCCGCTGTCCCACTGTGCTGTCCCACTGTTCCCACCACCGTCCCACTGTCCCCAGTCCCCACCGGTCCCCACTGTGCTGTGTGTCCAACTGTCCCCACTGTCCCCACCAGTGTCCCACTGTCCCCACTATCCCCACCACTCTCCCCACTGTACCACAATCCCATTGTCCAACCACCGTCCTCACCACTTTCCCCACCACCACCGTCCCCACCATTGTCCCACTGTCCCCCACTGTGCCCACCACCATCCACTGTCCCCTCACCACTGTCCACACCACCACCGTTCCCACCACTATTCCACTGTCCCCACCACTGTCCCCACCACTGTCCCACTGTATCCACTATCCCCACCACTGTCCCCACTGCCCCCACCAGTGCCACCACAACGGTCGCACTGTCCCCACTGTCCCACCACTGTCCCCACCACGGTCCCACTCTCATCACTGTCCCCACTGTCCACAACACTGTCCAATCCCACCAGCCCTCTGGGCGTAGGTGGTCTAGAGCAGATCCTCTTCCACCCCTCCCTCTTCCCCCTTGGGGAGGGGTTTACCCCTCCCCCTACCCCCTCCCCTGGACCTGGACGGGGGGGGCCGCTGGTAGTTAGAGCGTCCCAGATGGCCCAAGACGGCTCCAAGAGCGCCTCAGAGAACCCAAGATGAGCTCCAAGATGGCTCAAGATAGCGCAAGATCGCTCGAGATGGCTCCTAAGATGGTTCCAAGAAGCCCAAAGACGGCCCCAAGATAACTCCAAGTGGCCAAACAGCTCCCCAAGGAGGCCCCGAAGAGGCCAAAATCGTCCCAAAACCTAAGGAAAATCAATGATTTTTGCTTTCTCGCCTTTTCGCTTCCGATGGCCATCCGAGGCCTGGAGATGGCTCCAAGATGGCCCAAGAGGGCCCCAAGAGAGCCCCAAAAGAGCCCCAAGACGGCCCCAAGAGCGCCCAAGAGCACTCCAAGAGCGTTCCAAGAGGGGTCCAAGAGGCGATTTTAGGGGCTTCCGAGGGGGGACGCTAATTCACCCCCCCCTCTTGTTTGATCGACTCCCTCCAAGATGGCCCCAAGAAGCGCCCAGGAAGCCCCAAGAGGTCCCAAGATGGCCCCAAAATGGCCCCAAGAGGCCCCCAAGAGGCCCCCCGGAGGCCCCCAAGAGACCCCCAAGAGGCCCCAAGAGCCCCCCCAGATGCACCCAAGATGCTCCAAGAGGCCTCGGCGAGAATGCCTAATCATTGATTCTACACAGGTTTTAGCCACATGGAGGCCTCTTGGGGGGGGGCACGGATTAAGATGACTCCAAGAGCGTCTGGGAGAGCCCAAAATGACCTCCAAGATGGCTCAAGATATCCCAAGATGTCTCATAATGGCTTCCTCTGTGTGCTGCCCACTTCTCTGATCGAGGCAATTCCTCTGGGCATCGTTTCTGGATGGGCTGGTGGGGATTCGCGAAGCGACAACAATTGTCTCCACTCCCCACCACCATCCCCACCACCGTCCCAACCACTGTCTCCACCAGTCCTCCATCCAGAGTGTGGGAGGAGGAAGAGTCGTTGTGGCGGGGGGGGGGTTCGAACCAGTAGTGACCCCCGCTGGATTTCGGGGGGGGGATTCGAACCAGTAGTGACCTCCCCTCCCCTTTTCATGATGTGCCGGGGGGGGTGGAACCTCCAGTGACCCCCCCCCAGATTTCGAGGGGGGGGGGGGGCGGGCTGGAAACCCCTAATGACCCCCCCCCCTGCTTCCTGCCAGCAGCGGCAGAACACGCTCTTTCATATGTTTGGGAACCTCGATCTTCAAATCCGTGCGAAACCGATTGTTTTCGACGTATTTCGGCATAGGCGCGCCACGACGCGCGCGTCGACATCGTCTCGTCTTTAACACGAGATGCTTGAACTGGTGATAGGCGAGTTGGGCGCATAGCATCATTAACAAGGATGCGGGGGGCGATACGGAGTTTGGCTGGGATTGTATGTTAAATGTTGAAAATGAACGATGGGGCAAAATCGTATACGAGTTGTACTATCCCATGGGGTAGCGATAAACCAAGGGGAAGGAGTGGTAGATCATAACCTATATGTTTTGATATATGTGGTGCGTTGCCTGCTGCTTGGTCAACTGCTGGGCCTGCGCGCCAAGGGACTGGCGGGATTTGGCTTCGGCTTCAGGCTGATGGCGCACTTCATGGTCATGCGGTCCGTTGTGGTGCCTCATGGTGCGCGTCGGCTCCCTGGCCATCCGCTCCGCCGCAGCTTTCTTCTCGCTGTTGTTCGGGTCCTTCAACCTTGCCCTGCACGTGTGCGTGGTAGCCTTCTGCTTCTAACTCACGGCAGGTACACTCGGGCTCTGGCCAGCATCGCCCATTGGTCAGGTCTATAGCTGGGCAGCGTTCGTTGATGTCAAAATCAACCCTCCTCCTCCTCCTCCGCCTCCTCCTCCTCCTCCTTCTCCTCCTCCGCCTCCTCCTCCTCCTCCTCTTCCCCCTCCTCCTCCTCCCGGCTTCCGTCCTCCTCCGCCAGCTCTGGCCCGCGCGTTGCCCTTGTCCACCACCTCGACGTGGGCCAGCGCCAGCGAGTGCGGCGCGGGGCCTCCCGGCGGTGCGCAGAAACCGCTGCGCGCGGCGCAGCGCAGGGGCGGCCGTCGTGAGCGAAGGCCGCCCACGGCGACGACAAAACTGCACGCCCGAGGGGGGCAAAGAGCCTACGCCCAAGGCTCGAGGTTATAAGTTTTCGGGCGTTTTCGTTGGCGATCGACGGTTTCCGGCCTCGGGCTGTCTTCCAACGGCTGCGCCCCGCCGACAGCGTTCCCGGGGTGCCCGGATCGTCCCGAGCGGCCGCTGGAGGCCCCGAGGTATGGCCCGAGAGCCGGCCGAACCGACCGCGAGCCCAGAACTCGGGCCGAGGCACCCGACGGGCCGTGAGCGGCCCCGAAGGGCGCGGCGACGCAGCAACGGCCCAGACACGCTCCAGGACGGTGAAAACACTTTTTTTGATTCGCGGGTCGAGAGCGCACCTCTTCCGGTCGAAGCTAAGCGGGCCGCGCGAAGCTTGAATTATCCAGGGATGGGGGAGGAAAAGGGGGGGCGCAGCCCCAGAACGAGGCCGGGAGCAGGCAAAGCCTCGGGATCAGGCGGTGCCGTAGTCGACGTACTTGCAAAGGCGCGCCTTTTCCATGGAAAGGACGGTGAAAACACGACCCAGGATGAAAAGCTGACCCTGGGGAAAGGGTCGGGACTGCTGGGGACCCCGCATTGAGAAAAAAGATCTGGGCGAAGGACCCAACAATATGCAGCTGAGGGTCCCGCGTTGTGGGTACCGTGTTCGGTGGATTTCCCTTCCAGGCCACGAACTGTGTGAGCGGTGTGCCGGAGTCGCGGCGCCACGATGCATGTCAGAGGTGCCGCAACGGGTGCGGCGGTGCCATGCGAACGCAGCCGCTGGGGCCTTCGGTGGATCTCCTTATGGGGCAACGGTAGAAGGGTGTGCAGACATGGGTGGGGGGGGGGGGGGGGGCGCATGCGAACTGCGCCACGGAAGCACTCGGTGGAACCCCCATACGGGGCCACGAAACGTATCAGGGGTGTCCCGACATGGGTCGGGCCGACGCATGCGAACTCACCACGAAGGCCCTCGGTGGAGCTCCTATCGGGCCACGAAACGTGGGAGGGATGTGCCGACACGGGTGGGGCGGACGCATGCAAGCTCACCACGGAGGCCCTCGGTGGAGCTCCCTATGGGGCCACGAAACGTGTGAGGGGTGTGCCGAAATGGGTCGGGCGGATGCATGCGAGCCCACCACGGAGGCCCTCGGTGGAGCTCCCTATGGGGCGACGAAACGTGTGAGGGATGCACCAAAGTGGGTCGCGCGTGCGCATGCGAACTCACAACGGAGGCCCTCGGTGGAGCTCCCTCAGGAAGCAGGGATGGGCGGAGGATGGACATGCGGAGGGCAGAGGCAGGAACAGGAGGAGGGATGAGGGGGAGGAGGAGGGGGGAAGTAGGAGAGAGTGGGGAACGCGGGGCGTTGTATCGCATGTCTGGGGACACAGCTCGGCGACTCCGAAGGGTGTGATTTGCAGAGGGTGTGGTTTGCAACTGGCACCCTGGGGGGCACCCTGGGAGGCGGGCGAGGACCTCGACAGAGCTCTCCGCCGCGCCCCGAGGAGGCCCGACGAGGACAGCGTTGCCCACCAGGCCCCAACGGTGCCGATCGCAAACCACACCCTGGCGTAACCATACCATTTGTAGTCGCCGAGAGAGCGAGACCAGGCCAACTCTCGAGACCCTCGGGCCTCGACGGCGACCGACTCAAACGAGGCCCGGCGCCTCACCCCCTGCCTCGGGGGGGGGGCCTATCGTGGCACGAGGCACTTGCGCGGACGACGTGGGGTCCACGGGAAGTGCTGTCGGGCGTTGATGAACGGGGGGGGCAGTAGAGGGGAGGGGGTGAAGAACTAGGTCAATTGTATTCGCGCTTCGCGCTCCGCGAACCGAGCGCGAAGCTCAATTATCTTCGCGATTTCGCGCCGCCCCCTCCCCTCCCCCGGAACAGGGTGAAGGACTCACGCCTCGCTCTGAAGTCGCCCCGGCCGCGCGCGCAGCGCGGCTAACTCTCCGCGCCCTCGTGGTGGCCCCAGGCGGGAGGTGTACCTAAAGTCGAAGTGCCCTTCGCGCGTCCTCACGAAGGTTTTTGACTGTATCCTGGACCTTGGGGGCCCCTCGCCCCTCCACCACAAAACGCCCGAGGCGAGGGAGCCATGAGATCGGGGAGACTTCGTGGCCCCGAAATGGTATCCACGCCCTCAGTCCGCTCCTCCCTCTTCGACGAGGCGCAGCTGCTGCAACGTATCCCGAGGCAGGGAGACCCTCCAAGACACGACGAAACGCCCAGAAACGCCCCGCCCCCCCCGTCTCTTGGGGATCCCGAGACGGTGCGGTGGCAAACCTCGCGGTGACGTCAGAATTCCCAAAGACCTCACCGAACGGTCCGTCACCGCAGGGTCTTGGAACCTTGGAGGCCCCAGCCGCCCGAGACGTCCTCGGAGAACGAACCAGGTCCCAAAACCGTGCGGTCACAGCCCGAATTCCCACTGACTCACTACACGGTGTGGTCACCACGCTGTTTGGGGTGGTGAGGCTTCGGGCTGTACACAGACAGCCCCCCCAGGTAGACCTGGCTGGCCTCAACAGGCCCCCCGAGTAGTCCCAGCTGGCCTCAATAGGCCTCCCGAGCAGTCCAGGCAAGGGATGGATGGGGGAGAGGAAGGGGGGCAGGGGGCAGGAGGGAGGAGGGACGACGAGGGAGGAGGGAAGAGGGAGGAGAGAGGAGGGAGGGAGGGAGGGAGGAGGGAGGGAAGGAGGGAGAGAGGCAGGAGGGAGAAGTAGGAGAAGGAGGAGGAGACCGAGGGGGGAGAGGATGAAGGAGGATGAGGAGGAGGAGCAGGAGGAGGAGGACAAGCGAAAACCCAACACGAGTCAACGATGACGCAAAAAACCCTCTTCGTGGGTCCCTACTAGAATCTATCAGGGGAAGTGCCCCATTGAAAGTCAACCATCTGGGAATCCTCAATATTACAAAAATTCCTGAGACTTCCAAAGCCGCGAATCAAATGACTGCTGCGCCCTGACAATACTAAATCGTGCCAGAACACCATTCCTGGGACTTGAACTTCGCGAATCAACGTGACTGTCGCGTCCTGACAATCCGAAAGCGTGCCGGATCACGATTCCTGGGATTTACGGAACCTTGAAACTGGTGAAACATTTTAAAACGAATGCGCGCGGCGCTGAGGCGGGAGCTACATTTTGAACAGGAGCCGCCCTGAAATTGTGAAACTTCTGCGAACTTCTAAGACGCTAGGGCGAGACCGACAGTTTGAAAACTACCCGCCCTCAATCCTTGAAACTGCTACAAACGTTGAAAACGAATGTGCGCGGCGGTAAAGCGAAAGCCACATTTTGAAAACGACCCGCCCTCCATCCTTGAAGCTGCTGCGAATTCCAAGCTTCATAAACATAACTGGTGAGGAATTATCCAGCGAAAAGCGCAGCCCGACCTACCCATACGTCTAGGAGTGTGAAAGGGAGGAATTCTTTATGAGGATAAGGAAAAGGGATGGAGGAGGAGGAGGAGGAAGGAAGAGGAGGAGGAGGAGCAAGAAGACGACGACGAAGTCGCCTCGGAGCACCGTGCCGTCTGGGTCGTACTGGGAGCCGTGGCACGGGCACACGAACTTCTGCTGGACCTCTTGGGGGCGCCCAGCGTCGGCCGCCTCATTCTCCTCGTCCACGAGGGGGTGCGGGGGAGAGGTTTGATTTGTGGTTGTCCGAAAGAATGGTGTCAGACTTATGTTCACATGATTTTACAAATGTGCACCATCGACATTGTTGAGAGAGAACGAGAATGGTGTAATTTCAGGGGGGGGGTCTTTCTTCTAGGCGATCACACGATCGTCCGGTAAACGAACTACTCGGCGGGCCGCGAGACCCGCCGCTCGGCTGAGGGCCCTCGCTGGAAGAGAGCCAGCGCCGCAGAAGACGTCTGTCCACGTCCCCTTTCCTCGAAATCCTGGGACTGGCGGCGCGCCGAGGGGGAAAAGAGAGTGGTCGGGCCTTCTCAAAAGAGGCTGAGAAGGCCTCTATCCTGCTGCGAAGCTTTCCAATTCGTCTCTGAAGCACCGCCGCCTTCCCAAGAGACGTGCCCCCTCTTATTGTCAGCCTTCTTGCGCCACGGATGGGAGCACACGGAGAGGTTAAGGACTGAATTGAATGGTCCTGCTGACGTCCAGGTCGCCGCACGATGCGCAAGGTCAGCCGCCAAGAAACGGGCCAGGAGGTGGAGGAGAACGAGGACGAATTAGACTGACGAAGGACCCAACAATATGCAAGTGTGAGTACCGCAATTGTGATTCACTTTTTCGGTGGCGATCCCTATGAGGCAACGAACCGTGCTAGGGGTGTGCCGAAATGAATGGCGTGGTACACAACGCGAACAAACAACAAACAACACAATGCGGACTGCGCCACGGGGACGCATGCGAACTGTGCCACTGGGACCTTCGGCGGAGCTCCTATGGGGCCACGAAACGTGTGAGGGGTGTGCCGAAATGAGTGGCGGGGACGCATGCGAACTGTGCCACTGGGACCATCGGCGGAGCTCCTATGGGGCCACGAAACGTGTGAGGGGTGTGCCGACATGAGTGGCGGGGACGCATGCGAACTGTGCCACTGGGACCTTCGGCGGAGCTCCTATGGGGCCACGAAACGTGTGGGGTGTGCCGAAATGAGTGGCGGGGACGCATGCGAACTGTGCCACTGGACCTTCGGCGGAGCTCCTATGGGGCCACGAAACGTGTGAGGGGGTGCCGAAATGGTGGCGGGACGCACGCGAACTGTACCACTGGGACTTCGGCGCCATGGGGCGAAACGTGTGAGGGGTGTGCCGAAATGAGTGGCGGGGACGCATGCGAACTGTGCCACTGGGACCTTCGGCGGGGCTCCTATGGGGCCACGCAACGTGTGAGGGGTGTGCCGAAATGAGTGGCGGGGACGCATGCGAACTGTGTCACTGGGACCTTCGGCGGAGCTCCTATGAGGCCACGAAGCGTGTGAGGGGTGTGCCGAAATGAGCGGCGGGGACGCATGCGAACTGTGCCACTGGGACCTTCAGCGGAGCTCCTATGGGGCCACGAAGCGCGTGAGGGGTGTGCCGAAATGAGTGGCGGGGACGCATGCGAACTGTGCCACTGGGACCATCGGCGGAGCTCCTATGGGGCCACGATGTGAGGGTGTGCCGACATGAGTGGCGGGGACGCATGCGAACTGTGCCACTGGGACCTTCGGCGGAGCTCCTATGGGGCCACGAAACGTGGAGGGGTGTGCCGAAATGAGGCGGGACGCATGCGAACTGTGCCACTGGGACCTTCGGCGGAGCTCCTATGGGGCCACGAAACGTGTGAGCTGTGTGCCGAAATGAATGGCGGGGACGCATGCGAACTGTGCCTCTGGGACCTTCAGCGGAGCTCTATGAGCCACGAAACGTGTGAGGGGTGTGCCGAACTGAGTGGCGGGGACGCATGCGAACTGTGCCACTGGGACCTTCGGCGGAGCTCCTATGGGGCCACGAAACGTGTGAGGGTGTGCCGAAATGAGTGGCGGGGACGCATGCGAACTGTGCCGGACCTTCGGCGGAGCTCCTATGGGGCCACGAAACGTGTGAGGGGTGTGCCGAAATGAATGGCGGGGACGCATGCGAACTGTGCCACTGGGACCTTCGGCGGAGCTCCTATGGGGCCACGAAACGTGTGAGGGGTGTGCCGACATGAGTGGCTGGGGACGCATGCGAACTGTGCCACTGGGACCTTCGGCGGAGCTCCGACGGGGCCACGAAACGTGTGAGGGGTACCGAAATGAGTGGCGGGGACGCATGCGAACTGTGTCACTGGGACCTTCGGCGGAGCTCCTATGAGGCCACGAAGCGTGTGACGACGATGATGACGGTAATGATGCTGATGATGATGATGATGATGATGATGATGATGATGATGATGATGATGATGATGATGATGATGATGATGATAATGATGATGATGATGATGATGATGATGATGATGATGATGATGATGATGATGATGATGCTGATGATGATGATGATGATGCTGCTGCTGCAGATGATGATGATGCTGATGCTGCTGCTGATGATGCTGATGATGAGGATGATGACGCCGACGACGACGACGACGATGATGATGATGATGCTGATGGTGATGAGAGGAGGGGAGGAGGGAGGAGGAAGGAGGAGGAGACGCGGGGCACAATCTCTTCAAATCGAGGACCCAACACCACAGTGTGGTTGGGAAAAGCAAAGCGTAAATTGCCGCATGAGGGCCTCGTTCAATCCAAGGCGCGATGCAGCCCAGGTGCGTGGGAACGGGCGAGGCGTAGTAGGAGGGCGATCCCAGCCTTCCCTTCGTTGGGGCCTGGTTTTGAATAGAGTGCAGCTCGCGCGTCGCCCCCAACCACCTCCTGCCCTCTTCCCTTTGCTTTGGTGCATCCCTTGCTCGTACCTTTCATATGTGGGGGCTGCCCGTGAGGCTGCCATCTGCGCAACTGTTGCCACGCTCGCGGTCTCATGGGAGGTCCAGCGGAGGCGGTGGGCAGGCGAGACCTCGCGGCTCCCTGGGAGGCTGACAACTGCGCATTTGACACCACGTTCTTGGCTTTCTGGGAGGTCCAGCCGATGGGGTCGGCAAGCGAGACCTCGCAACTCCCTGGAGAGCTTGCCAACTGCGCAAGCGTCCCCACTTCCGTGGGCACCTGGATCGTCCAGCGGAGTGGGTTGTCACACAGATCCAGTGGAGACCTTACAGCTCCCTGGGAGGCTGCCAACTGCGCACGTAGGCTCCTGGATCGTCCAGCGGAGTGGGCTGTCACGCAGATCCAGGCGAGACCACGCGGCTCCATGGGAGGCTGTCAACACCGCAACTGACACCACGTTCGTGGGCTCTGGGGAGGTCCAGCGGAGTGGCTTGTCACGCAGATCCAGGCGAGACCTCGCAACTCCCTGGGTGGGGGGGCTGCCAACTGCGCAATTGTCTAAACTTTCGTGGGCACCTGGATCGTCCAGCGGAGTGGGTTGTCACACAGATCCAGTGGAGACCTTACAGCTCCCTGGGAGGCTGCCAACTGCGCAACCGTCTGCACTTTCGTAGGCTCCTGGATCGTCCAGCGGAGTGGGCTGTCACGCAGATCCAGGCGAGACCACGCGGCTCCATGGGAGGCTGTCAACACCGCAACTGACACCACGTTCGTGGGCTCTGGGGAGGTCCAGCGGAGTGGATTGTCACGCAGGACCAGTCGATACCTCGCGGCTCCCTGGGGGGGGGCTGCCAACTGTGAAACTGTGGGCTCCTGAATCGTCCAGCGAAGTGGGCTGTCACGCAGATCAAGGCAAGACCTCGCGGCTCCCTGGGAGGCGGTCAACTTCACAACTGACACGAGGTTCGTAGGCTCCTGGGAGGTCCAGCAAAGGCGCTAGTCAGGCAAGGTATCGCGGCTCCATGGGAGGCTGCCAACTGCGCAACTATCGTCAATGTCGTCGGATCCTAGGTCCAGCGGAAGCGGTGGGCAAGCGAGACTTCGCGACTCCCTGGGGGGCTGCCAATTGCGCAACTGTCGCCACTTCCATGGGCACCTAGCTCGTCCAGCGGAGTGGGTTGTCCCACAGATCCAGGCGAGACCTCGCTGCTCCCTGGGAGGCTACCAACTGCGCAACTGTCGCCACTTTCTGTGGATTCCTGGCGGGTCCAGCAGATTGGGTTGTCACGCAGATCCAGGCGAGACCTCGCAGCTCCATGGGAGACTGCCGCCTGCCAAACTGTCGCCACTTTCGTGGACTCATGGATCGTCCAGCGGAGTGGGTTGTCACGCAGACCTCACAGCTGTCCGGGGTGCTGCCGACTGCGCAACTGTCGCCGCAGATAGGTGGTTCACAGCAGTGGCATGTCGGACCGCCAAAACTATCAACATTGGCGCGCCTTGGAGGAGGAAGAGGACGACGACGACGACGACGACGACGACGACGACGACGACGACGACGACGACGACGATGAGGCTTTCCCGTGAATCGTGGGACGTGAAAACTGGCCGTGTAGCTGTCATAACGCATTGCGTCTCCCTGCACGGTACCGTCCGCATAAAGCAGGCCCACTGCCGTGGCCACGTATTGTAGAGGGATTGAATACGTCTCGGCTTGGCACCAAGCCGCGGTCGACGCAACCAAAGGGCACCGCGGGACCGAGAAATTGGGGACGGACAAAAAGGGCAGAGCGCGAGAGGGGGCGAGGACGCCGCGGGCGGCGGAGCACGGTCGAAACGTGATTTGCGCTGCGTGTGTGCCGTGGGCTGTAAGCGCTCACCCGGGGGCGAGTTCAACATCCTGGAGGGCGAAGACCAGGAAACAGCTCGAAGTCCCCGAGGAGCTCCGAAGGCTTCCTGGGAGCCAGCATCGGAGGGAAACCGCCAGGACTGATCAAAACCACTACGTCGGAGGACCCGACTCGTAGGGAACAGCGTCTGCCGCGGGGAGGGCCGGCCTCGTTCCATGGCGCGATGCAGCCCAGGTGCGTGCACCTGTGTGCTGCGCCGCCGCCGTCGTCGCGAGTTTCTGCTCCTCCTCCTCCTCCTCCTCCACTCCTGTTCCGTATAGATAATTCCTCCCTATAACATTATCGGACGTGTCCGTACGATGAGCCGAGCGTGTCGTTACAAAAACACCCTCGCCAATTATGACCCTCGAAGACCCAGAGGGGAACCCAGAACCAGGACACTGGGCGACCACATTGAGGGTGGACTGGCAGTATTTCGTCACAAGTAAGAGGAAGATGAGGAGGATAATGGAGATGGTGATGGTGATGGTGATGCTGATGGTGATGATGATGGTGATGATGGTGGTAATGATGGTGCTGACGACGACGACAACGACGGCGACAACGCCAACGATGTTGATGACGATGGCGATGACAAAGATGGTGATGATGGTGCTGGTGAAGAAGCGAAGAACAAATGGGGAGCGATGCCCAGACCTCTGAAGCGAGCGCGCCGGAGCGAGGGTGTGCTGCGATCGTGTTAGTGCGCGCGCGAATACAACGCGATGCCTGCGAGCACAACAGGGGCCTCCGATTCGATGACCGATGCAAGCCTGACAGCGCTGGCAGGGCCCTTCCAAAACGTACGATCGTTACCAGTAACAGGGGGGGGGGCCTGGGTAACGACCGTTACGCGCCAAGTAATGAAAAACCGTCTCTCGCAAACCACACACCTCGTGCCCCCTGTTTTTCGGGCTATGACGCGGCACCCCGGCGGCCGTTCGGGACGGTCCGGGCACCCCAGGAGCGTTCCCGGCGCGGCGCAGCCAGCACCCCGAGGGTGGAGAACCGCTGAAAAACCGACGAGCACGGCCGAAAACCTCCAACGTCGAACCCGACCACCTCGACCGCAGATCGACCCCGCTGGAGAAATGCCGCAGAAGGGTCCAGCCTGGGGCTCTGGGCGCGGCCTTCGGCAATCCTGCCGCGCGCGCGGGCCTCTCGCGAGGGGCCTCCGCGGGAGGTCTCCAAAGTCGAGCGGGACAACCTCGAACCTCCAGCCCATTCCCCATACGTGACGTTGCCCCAGAGGGCCGCGGGCGCGCTCGGGGCCGGCCGGGCCGCCCGGGGTCGAGGCGGGCGCTCGGCGCGGAGGGCGAAGTTCCTGATGCCGCCTGCGGGCGGCACGGGCGGCGGTCAATCTGCGAGTGTCGAGGTGGTCGGGTTCGAGGTTGGAGGTCTTCGGTCGTGTTTGTCGTTTTTTTTTTTTTGCCGGCGGGTCTCCACCCTCGGGGTGCCTTCCAGCGGCTGCGCCGCGCCGAGAACGCTCCCCGGGTACCGGGGCCCGAACTAGGGCGAAGCCGGCGCGAAACCGCTGCGACGCCAGGGGGCCACGGTGCTCCTGACCCGCGGCGGACCTAGCGCACCGAGTTTTGAGCATGGAAAGTACAAGCTCGAATAACGCGGGCACGGCAGGTCGCAACCTGCCGTGCCCCCGAGCCAGCATGGCAATGGAAAAGGGGGGCCATTCAGGAGGCCCCAGAAATGAGGAGAGAAGCCGAGGAGGAGTGGCGCTGTCTTGGCTGGCCCTCCTCGATCATCCTCGATCCCCCCCCTCTCTCGGGCGCACGCTAACATGGACGACGGATCCGCAGATCTGGCGCGTGGGCGCCAGAATCCACAGGTCGGGGAGAGGAGAATCCCCTGAAACATAAGACCAATGACGCTTAATCTGGCGACGGACCGCGCCAATGTCATTTGGGAACGGGACCCATCGCTAATTCATGCGCTTTCACTCCATTCCGCTTCCGATGTCTTGACTTCTGCAATGCGAAACCCCTTGAAGTCCTGACCCTTTCCCCAGGTGCCTAGAGGCCTCCTGAATGAGGTCCGAGATGATGGGGTCGGAGGATCGCGCTGAATCGCCGATGCATCGCCGATGCATCGCCGATACATCGCCGATGCATCGCCGATGCATTCGCGATGCATTCGCGATGCATCGGCGACGTCGGTCATGCATCGGCGCCGCCTTGAATCGATCGCGGCCCCGATCGGTCGAGGTTGAATTCTGTCGGATCCAGTGGCGTAACCGCGCCCCTCGGCGCTTCCGCGTCGCAGAATTCAACCTTGAACGCCTTCGGCGGCGTCGCTGGCGCGCCACCGCCGCATGTGCCTGCCGTAGAGTGTCCAGGTCTGCCTCCTCCCCTCCGCGCGCCACCGCTCTTGCCCGGCAGCAGCCAGTACGGCTCCCCCCTGAGGCCGAGCACGAGGCCGGGCTCGCCCTCGCTCTCCTCCAC